GGTGCTTTCATTGAGAGCACGAGATATACTCAAAGCATGCTCCAAACCTATTTCCCAATCCATCGAAGCCTTCCAAATAACCATGGTTGGAAGCATGAAGACAAGGGGCAAAACTGCCGCGATGGCTCGATCTGCGATGGCCCAAAGCCACTCCACCCATGATCCCGCGATCGACATGGTGGCACCACCACCTCTCACCACCGCACCGGCCACCGCAGTCACCCAAGGCCCCGTGGCCGGATCTAGCCACCCTCATGGCACCACCGCCGAGCATGGTGGAACCTCCCATCAAGGTGGGCTCGTTACCACCGCCGACTTAGGCCCAATCTTGGAGCAACTTCAAGAGTTCCCTCCACGCTCGACGCACGCTCCCTCGTATGCCTCACATGAAACCCTAGCCCGTATGCAGTTGGGCTCCACACACTTCTCTCCTCCCGATCCACGAAGTCAAGCAGACCTTAGTTGACCAGCTAGCTCAGAAAGTTGACCAGCTCCTCAACCAAATAAATTTGGCTCAAAACCTTGGCCTTGGACAACTGGGCGAAGAGAGAAGGATGGACGAACGCGCCGACAGGCAGCTCGATGGGTACTGAGCAGGTCGAGCAGGAATGAGCAGACAAGGAGAGGGACAACAACATGATCAGCTTGCCAACATGTCACAAGCATCCGCAAGCCACACTCAGAGCAACGTGCAAGAAAGGGTGGGCCCATGACTTGACATCCGTGCCCGCCTGGGCCCGTAGGGAAATGTTCTTCAAAGGCTAGGCTCCTAGGGAGGTCAACGAGGAGGTCAATTAACGTCGCCCAAATCGCGAAGGTTGCCAACGTGTCCAACCAGCAATGCGTGTAGAAGACGTTAAGAAGCTTGTGAATGACCAACTTCGAGACTTGAAGACTGGCGGGAACTTCGAAGATGCACTACGCAAGGAGATGGACCAGGCAAACTCTACACCTTTCACCGTGGAAATTGAGCAGGCTGCTCCCCCGAAGCGATTCTCAACGCATTCATTTACACCCTTCAATGGGGACTCCGATCTCGAGAGCCACCTAAAACACTTCAAAAGTGTCATGATCCTCCACAAGGCCGACGACGCATTGATGTGCAAAGTGTTTGTAATGACCTTGCGAGGAGCAGCCCAAGACTGGTTCCACACCCTACCATCTGGGTCAATCAACAACTTCCAGGAACTGGCATACGTCTTCACCAAAGAATACACGTCTTACCGGACAATCAATAAGAACCCTGATCACCTGTTCAATCTACGCAAGAAGTCCGACGAATCCTGTCGAGACTACATCAAGAGATTCAAAGCAGAAAAGGCCAACATTGTAGGACGTGACAACCGGATCGCGTCCTCTGCTTTCAAGAAAGGCCTTCCAGCTGAACACGACTTATCCCATGAGCTGACTATCGCTCCTAGCCAGACTCTAGCAGAGGTCTTCGCGACCGCGGAACGCTATGCGCTCTAGGATGATAATCGAATCACCGCGAAAAAGTCCACTAAGCAGGAAGATTAGCCAACTAAGCAGGCAGGCCAAAGAAGCGACGAGTTTAGCAACAGGAACAAAGACAAGCGCAGGTCGCACCCAAAAGGGGACGCAATGGCAGGATAGAACTACACTAAGTTCTCCATCCCCATACACCAAATCTTAGCCCAAGTGAAGGACAAACCTTGGGTAAGAAGGCCGCCACCCTTGAAGGGAGATCCGGACAAGAGGGATACCAGAAAATACTGTGCCTTCCATGGGACTCACAGGCACACTACAAACAACTGCTTTGCTTGGAAAACGCACCTTGAAGAACTCGTGAGAGAAGGTCACTGCATGGAGTTCATCGCGTAGCAAGCCATCCAGCGGATAGAGGATCGCAACACCACCAAGGAGCCACCTCAGAAGGTCATAAGGATTAACACAATCCTAGCCGACTCCGAGGAGTCTGGGCTGACCAGCAAAGAAAAGAAGAGGAAGATCAAACAGGCCATTGTGATCTCCCAAGTCTCGACCGACCTTCCACCAGCGGAAGACAACCCTGTGATCGGCTTCCAGAAGAAAGATCTGATTGGCCTCGACATGTAACACAACGATGCCCTTGTTATCAGCATTCAAATCGCTCACGCCATGGTCGATTGAATCCATGCGGACGAGGGCAGCGCAGCTAATATCCTGCAGTTGGCAGTCATCCAGCAGATGGGCTTAGAAGCGAAGATCAACAAAACAGCCAAATCGCTAACCGGCTTTAATGGTGCAACAACGGTCACCGTGGGCACGATATACCTCGACATCTACTCCCCACCTGTAATCAGCTTGCAAACATTCATGGTTATTAATGAGGTCTCGCCATACAATGGCATTCTGGGCAGACCCTGGATCGGCAAGATCAACGCCATCACCTCCGCCACGCATCAGAAAATCCGCTACCCAATCCCTGGGGGCGGTGTCGGTCAAATTAACAGCGATCAGGCAATGGTGAGGAGATGCTCGGCTCAAGGGCTAAAGAAAAGCAAACAAACTCAGTTCCTCCCTGTAAGTCAGGCAGATCTGAAGGAAGTTGAACAACCGAACCTTAACGGGTCAGGACCAAGCCGAGGAAATCTGTCCAGAGGTCTCTCCAGAAGAAGGTGTTCACCCATTTTACTTTTGTTCCTGTGATGATACGGTAAAGTTCCCCATTGCCTTGAGAACCATTGACTGGTCAACAAGTCAACTTTCTTTAATGTATGAGCGTGCCACTACTTGTAATAAAAATCCTAACAGACTTCCTAAAAACAGATAACTTGCGCCCCAGGTTACTGATTTCTAAACAAGCGGTTGTGAATTTGGGTGAGGAATATCTCCCAAGTAAGTTCTTTTCTTGCCTCAGACTGGTGAGGACTTCATAATTTTTCACAATACAAAACTGGTAGTTCTTGCCAGAATAAATGAGAAGAAAGTGAACTGTTTTCAGACAGAATTCTTTTTTACAAAACTCAAAAGGGAAAAACTGACTCTAAAAAGGACAAAAAGAAGACTGGACTTCCATTTAAGTTTGGGCAGATGCTTCTGATCCGGGCTGGATTAGATATGCCTGTGCTGGACTGGACTATCAACAACTCCAACTGGTCTGTTTCAGCTGCAAATCGATGCCAACGTTCGAATTTTGGCAGAGCTTTAATTTATTTCAAACCCTGGAAGGCATTTGATTGGGCAGAATTGGGACTTCTTCAGTCTGGAAGAGGCAGAAGTGGCCGGACTTGGCTACAAGGCGGTGCTGCTCAGCCTGAGGTTTCTGGTAAGATTCTGACATTTAGAATTTTTTCCTTGAATCTATTATGCTCTGTCCGTTCTTCTAACCTTCTTTTGTTCTGTACAGCTGAAAGTTCTCCTCCTCCTCCCACTAGGTCAAAAAGACTTAGAAAGAGGAGTGGAGTTGAATCTGATGAGATGGAAGAATCTGCGGTTAATCCAACTGAGACTTCTGGAACTGATGATGAGCTGCGAGAAGCTTTCGAAGCAGTTGAGCAGGAGAAAGAGCGAGAAGAAAAAGAAAAAGAAAAAGAAGTCCCTTCAAAAGAAAAAGGAAAAGAGTTTGAAGAAGAGGTGAGACTTTATTCTGGCCGCATGATCATTTTACTTCTGCTTTCTCCCTTTTTAGCTTCTGACTTCTGTTCATCTGTTAGGAGGAGATTCCTGCTGAGGTAATAGCAGAAAGCATTGCCTTGGCACAGAAGCAACAGGACGCTCCAAGGGCAGAACTGACCAGCTCGGAGTTGGCCCTTTTTGAGGATGTAGAGGCAGAACACTCCACTGCAGTTCAAGTTTCTGAGGAGCAGGCAGCGCAATCTGTATCAGAGCCTGTGGAACAGGCAGAACTTCCTGTTGCAGCCCCAGGATCTGAAGTAGAGGTGGCTGTTGCTGTTTCTGACCTTGTGGTAATTCCTCGTTTGTATTTTTTGTCTATTTTCTGCAGTTTATTCTATCCTTGTTTCTCCAACTCTCTGTCTTTTCAGGTAGAAGTGCCCAGAACTGCTGGAACATTAGCAGTGGCGATTAGTCCCATGAAGCCTTTTATTGCATCTGTAAGTATTACTATGTCATGGCTTTCTCTCTTTCCTTCTTTTGCATGTTTGCTAATTTACAATCCCCTTTTTTGCAAATGCCCATCCATTCCCTTCCTGGTTCATCTACCACGGCTTCCTTTGCTGATCCAGAATTGGCAGAGTTGCTCGGCCATGGACCTAGATAGTCAGCTGGATAAGCTGGAGAAACTTAGTTCTACTCCTGGCAAGGTCAAGTCCAAGGCGGCGGATGAGGCAATGGAGAGGGTGAAAATCTAGCAATCCACTGAGCTAGAACTGGATGAAAATAGGGGAGCTGTTGATCAGTTGATGACGGATCTGGACCTACTGCATCGACAGAACATGGCTCCTAGGCCTATACTTGAGATAGGCCTTGGTTTGGCCAGAGATGTGCTCAACCTCCACGACAGTTATGGGGATCTCAAGCCAACTTTCAAGACCTCTGAGCTCTGCAAGGCCACTTATGAAGCCAACTTGGCTGATTACGCAAATTAGAAGGTAGAACTGGACCAGATGGTTGCCGGATATAAGGAAGCCAAGGCCGTTGCAGACAAACTGAAGAAGCAGATTGAAGAGCTTCAGAAGCGGTTGGCAGAATGCAGGGAGGTGCAGAGCAGGCTCGGGGCTGGACTGAGTTCCAAGACCAAGGCTACCTTCCTTATGCAAAGCCTGGTTTCAGCTTCCAGGCCAGCTTTGGAGATTGCAGAGGCCTCAATCCACAAAGGAGTGCTGCTTGAAAAGGAACTCTCAATCAAGAAAACTAGCTTGCAGGAGACCCTTAAGAAATTAGGGTTTTAAAATTTAAATTAAGAGTTGTACTAAACAGCTTGGTCATAAAAGTGACTATATTTAAATAAAAGTTATTTATTTTTGTGGACTTTTATTTCTTCTGGTAAACTAAAAGGTACTTAACAAACTAGATCAAAACGAATTCTGAACAGAATTTTAAACAACAGTTTCATTTCTCTCTCTCTCTATTCCAGGATCTATCTGCACAGCTTGCGAATCCCACATAGTTGGATAGAATTTCTTTAACCACTTGCCATTGATTGGTGCAGCATGAACATCTCCATCTTGGTCCTGTAATCTATATGCCCCCAATCTGAGGACTTGCTGAATTATGAAAGGTCCTTCCCACGTTGGCGACCACTTTCCATAACCAACTATGTGTGTTCCGAGGGGCAGAACTGCTTTCCAGACTATTTCTCCTTCTTCAAAACTCTTGTTTTTAACTCTTTTGTTGTAGGCCCTTGATACAACCTGTTTTCCTGCTAAGAGTTTGTTGAGGGTATCAATCCTACTTGCATCTAATCCTTCCAGTTCTAACAGCATGGCTTGAGAATAATCTTCTCCAATCAGACCGTGTTGATGGGCAATCCTGAGGGATTGGACTGCTATTTCCACAAGCAGAATTGCATCATGACCATAAATTAAAGCATATGGGGTCATGCCAGTTGCCTCTCTTTTTGAAGTCCTATATGCCCATAGAGTTTCTGATAACTTCTCGTGCCAGTGCTTTGGATTCTTCTCAAGCATTTTCTTGATAATGTTGATGATCACCTTGTTACTTGATTCTGCCTGCCCATTAGCTTATGCATGATAAGGAGTGGATTAAAGTAGCTTGAATTTGAATGTTTCTGCCATGTCTAGCATCTCTCCAAATATGAAAGAAGATCCCCTGTCTGTTGTGATTGATTCTGGAATACCAAACCTTTGTATAATCTGTTCTTCTATGAAGGTGATGATCTCTTGAGATGTAGTGGAATTAACAGGCTTGGCTTCCACCCATTTGGTGAAATAGTCCGTAGCTACAATGATAAAACAATGCTGCTTACTACTGGCTGGATAGATCTTGCCAATGAGATCTATCGCCCATCCTCTGAATGGCCATGGCTTGACTACTGGATTCATGGGAACCGAAGGAGCCTGCTGGATTGGGCCATGCCTTTGACAAGACTCACATACCTTGGAATAATCAATGCAATCTTTCATCATGGTTGGCCAGAAATAGCCATACCTTCTAATTAACCAACACATTTTTCTTCCACCTTGATGTGCTCCACAGATTCCTTCATGGGTCTCTCCCATGACCTTCATGTATTCTTTCTTTCCTAGGAACCTTAGCAGTATCTCATCCTTGCTTTTTCGGACCAAATCTTCATTCCACATAAGGTAGTTTGAAGCCATGATTCTGACTCTCTTCTCAGAAGGCAGAATTGGATATTGCAAGTAATTTATGATGGGAATTCTCCAGTCATCTTCAGTGATTGTGGCAGAATTGACATCTATCTCCATTCCTACCTTGATAATCCTTTGCACACAATCTTCAAGCATTTGTATCCCTGTTGCTACCTGGGCCAATTCATTGGCCTCAAAGTTTTCTTCTCTTGGGATATGTTCCCAAGTAGCTTCCCTGAATTCTGTCAAAAGATTCCTAACTGCCGCTAAATAGACAACTAGAGAAGGATTTAGACATTTGTATTCTCCAACAATCTGTTTCAAAACAAGCATAGAATCTCCTAGGATTTCTACAGATTGGATCCCTAATTCCACCAGAATTTCGAGGCCAATGATTAGGGCTTCATATTCAGCCCTGTTGTTGGTACATTGGAAATCTAACTGGAAAGAATAACAGTGTCTGATCTCCAATGGCTCCTCTAGAACAATCCCTGCCCCAGAGGCTATGTCAGTTTTTGATCCATCAAAGTACAACTTCCAAGGTGTGAGATGAATCGAATAGATGAGATTGTTAAGGCAAGTATGGGCTCTAGTCAACAGATCTGCATTTGCTATATCCAAAGAATCCATATTTTCAATTTCTTCCCCTGGATGATCAGCTAGGAAATCTGCTACAGCTTGTCCTTTGACAGCTTTCTAAGGAACATATCTGAAAGCAAATCTGCCTCTCAACATCGGCCTTGTTAGCATGTATTTGATTAGGTCTGTCTTGGCAATGGTGTAGATGGTGAATGGCAGCATGTAGTGTCTGAGTTTCATAGCAGTGAAGTATAAGGCTAGACAGAGCCTTTCAATTGCAGAATATTTCCTTTCTACTTCTGTCAGTGTTCTGCTCAGATAGTAGACTGCCTGTTCCCTTCCTTCCTTGTTGTCTTGAGCTAACAGACTCCCTATGGACACTTCTGATGCAAACACATAGAGTTTGAGTGGTCTACCTCTCTTTGGTGGGGATAGGACTGGTGGATTTGAGAGGTAGTGCTTGATTTCCTCAAAAGCCCGTTGGTGCTGTTTCTCCCACTTAAAAGTCTGTTCCTGCTTTAACCTTAGCAAGGAGGAGAAAGGGTGGATTTTTCCTGCAGAAATGGATATGAATCTCCTTAGAAAGTTAATTTTTCCTAGGAGACTTTGCAGCTCTTTCGTGTTCCGAGGTGGTAGAGCTTCTATGATGGATTTTGCTTTATTTTTGTCAATCTCTATGCTCCTTTGGTGGACCAAAAAACCTAAGAAGTTCCCTGCTTGAACTCCACAAAACAAATTTTTTGGGATTTATTTTTAATTTATGTTGTCTCATTCTTAGGAATGCCCTTTTCAGATTTGATACATGATTTCCCTCCTCTGGGGATTTAATTACCACATCATCTATATACACCTCTAGAGAATGCCATATCATATCATGGAAAACAGAATTTATTGCTCTTTGATAAGTGGCTCCTGCATTTTTTAAACTAAAAGGCATTACAGTGTATTCAAAAGCACCTATATGTCCTGGGCACATGAAAGCCGTCTTATGGATGTCTTTTTCTGCTACCATGATCTGATTATATCCTGCGTTGCCATCCATGAAAGATAGCATCTGGTAATGAGCAGCTCCATCTACTAGCATATCTGCCATTGGCATAGGATATTCATCCTTAGGGGATGCTTCGTTTAAATTCCTGTAATCCACATAGATCCTGATTGCCCCTGTTTTTCTCTTTAGAACTGGCACAATATTGGCTAGCCAATCAGTATAGATGGATGGTCTGATGAATCCTGCCTTGAGCAATCTCTCTATTTCTTCCTTGACTTTTAGTTACGCTTCCATCCACATCCTTCTCCTAGCCTGTTTGACTAGAAGGTAGCCTTCTTTGACTGGCAGCTTGTGTTCTGCCAACTTTCTTTCTAATCCGGGCATCTCATGATAATGCCAAGCAAAACAGTCTCTAAAATCATGCAAAAGTGCAATGATCTCACTCTTGAGTGGTTCTTTCAACAATGCACTAATGAAAGTGGGTCTTGGATCCTCTTCTGTCCCTAAGTTTATCTCCTGCAAAGGATCTTCCACTTCTGGTAGGAAGTCTTCTAGTGCTGCTGGTGCAAAATCTAGTACTTCCTCCTGTAAACTCTCTTCTTGTTCTTCAGCGCTCTCGTGCGTGAATTCTGCCATATTGATGGCTGGATTCTGCATGAAGAGTTTCCTTTCTTCCCAATATATCAACAATCTTTTTGTAATAGATCGGATTGTTGCAGCTCGATCCTTGTCATGTTGATTGAGACTAAACATCAGAATTCTGGAGGTTCAGAACAAAGGGCCTATTCCAGTCTTCTAGGGAACTGGCTAGACCATCTTCAATGAGTCTCTGGGCCGTGACACCATGAGGACGGCCGTTCTGGTTGACTCCAAAGAATGTGAAAGGACCAAGGTCATCATGATAATATCTTGCCTCAAAACACATGGCAGAGGGCAGAAATGGCCGTGGATCGGCCTCTACTATCTCCATGTAACCTTCTTCATTCCAAAGGGCTAGTTGCTGATGCAGAGTGGAAGGAACACATAGGCTTTGGTGAATCCAGTCCCTGCCAAGCAGTGTATTGTAAGTGGTAGAAGTGGTGTTTACCACAAAGAATGCAATCTTCAGCTCTTTGGTTCCAACTATGACGTCCACGTCTAGGATTCCATAGGTCTTAGTGATGCCCCCAGCAAAGTTGGTGACAGTCAAACGTGATGGGATTAGATCCTTCTCTGTTTTTCCCATCTTGCTCAGCAATCTGTGAGGTAGAAGGTTAATGGCTGTACCTCCATCTACCATTACTTTGTAAATAGGAATACCCCCAAAGTTTTCTGTTATGAACAAGGGTCTGAGGTGATTACCCATTTCCTTGGTTGGTTCAGAGAAGTAAAGCTGTTATGCAGTTGGTTTTATGGCAGTTCCACCTGTTTTGGCAGCAGGTGTTTGCTGTTCTGGCACCTCCTCTTCTTCTACCAATCTGCACTCAAAACTTTCTTGGGAAAAAACGTCTCACTCCAAAGTGTTTTCCTGTTGTTTGTGCCTAATAAATCACGGCCATGAACTGGCCGAAGGAGCCCTTTTTCTCGGCCCAAGCACTTCCTCGAGAAGCTAAAGCGCAGCGTTTCGCCAAGGTGTTTTGCCTTCCTGAAAACAAAAGAAAAGTTGCCAAGGCATGATCATCTCGGCCTCGATTGTAAGCCGAGGCCGAGGCCGAGCAAAATCACGGCCAGAGATATCATAATCAAATCATCACGTGATAGCAGGGTCCCATGCTTCATTTAATGAAGTAATGCCTCTGTTTATTGCAGGCCGAGCAAAA